AACCCCCAACGTCTCGACGACGCGGGGTTGGTAGTGCACGACGCCTGCCCCCTCTTTGAGGTCTAGCAGCCCCGCGTAGTTCTCGTCTGCTCGCCTTGTTTTGGTCGTTGCCACCTCCACCACTGCAGGCTCCAATTGCACTTTCAGTGCTGCGTGCCTGCGCAACGCTTTCACCGCCCCCGCGTCTCTCTGCGGGCGGCCCAGGAGCAGAGGGCCCCAGATCAGCACGAGGATGTTGGCTGGGCTCTCGAGCAGTTTTTCGATATCTTCTACTGCGGCCCTGGCCGCCACTACGGCCGTGAGCAGGGTAAACGCTGGACCCGCAGGGGCTCGCCGACGCGGACTCCGATCCAGTGCTCGCCAGTCAGGGCGCGCGCGCAGCAGCGGGGCGCCGCGCTCCACGAAGTCGCCGTAATTGCCCCTGCCGTCGTCCACTTGGATCCAAGCTCTACCTCGCTGGTCCGTCGAACGCGTGTCCACCTCCGCCGTCCACGCGGGGTGCGCTCGCGCCCACGCGAGGGCGCTGTTTGCCGCCCGTTTCGGCGCGGGTGGTGCGCGGCTGCTGGGCTTCGGCGTCGTGTGCAGTAGGGCTTCGTAGTTCGGGGGTTCGTCAAGCTGCCGCGGCCATTTTTTTGCCTGCGGTTCCAAGCGCGCCTTCTTCTTTGGTGGCTCGTCCTGGAGATGCCGCGGCGGGTGGTCAGGCTGCCGCGGCAGTAAGTGCACCTTCGGAACCTGCGTTTGCTGGGAAGGCGCGCGTTTCGCCCTCGGCACAAGCTGCACCTCTGGTTCCCTGGAGGCCGCCACTGCGGCCTTGGGGGGGCGGCGCGGGGCTAACGGAAGGAACTGCGCGGGGGGGGGGGGGGGGGGCGCGCGGGGCCGAAGGGGGTCTTGCTTTTCAGGGAGGAGTCGATACGTCGCCTGAGTCGCTCAAATCCACAGCCCCCGTTGGGTTTTGCTTTGGGTTGCGGCATTGGAAAAGCCTGCATCAGCGCTGTTGCCGCTTGCTTCGCGCCTCCCGCCTTCGACCATGTGGTAGGAGGTGCGCCCCCCGCCTTCGAGATCCCAAGTGAACCTGGCACAGTTTCGCTGGACAAGCCAGACGGGCCACTCGTAGTCGAGCTTTCGTCGGGAGCGGCCTTTGGGGGCGAACGCAGAACTGCGTTTCCGAAAGCTGTCGCGCCCGGGGCTTTGCTGGAGGCCGCCGCTGCAGCCTTGGCCGCCACTGCAGCCCTGTTGCCTGAAGCGCCCCACGGCGCCATCGTCGATTCCGCTGGGCCCGCCCCTTGAGCCAAGGGGGGCCGCGCGGCCAGCGGCCAGCCGTTGGAGCCGCGCGCGCGGTCGAGGCGGGGGCAGGACAGGCAAGATGACAGACGCCATCGTTAATTCTCATCCTGGTCATCACCGATGCCATCGGAGTCGATATCGCCACCGTCATCACCAACGTCATCGTGATCACCATCGTCATCATCATTATCACCATCGTCATCGTTAATTAATAACATCGTCATTTATGAAAGTCATCGCCCTCATCATCGCCACCGTTTCATCGTCATCATCATCATCATCACCAACGTCATCGTGGTCGTTGTTATCTGATGGTGGCGGAAATGATGACGGCGATGTTGGCGCGAAGTAATTTGCTGGCACGACTTAAGTCGTCGCAAAGTTTCAGAAAAAGGCAGCGGCGGAAGCTGGTCTGCGATTCCTACAGCTGGCGGCCGCCACTGCGGCCTACGCTGCCACCTTATCACTGGTCGCGGCCCGACTGGTAGCCCAAGTCGCCTGGAGGCATTCCGTTGCCGCGCTCTCTGTCGAACCTGCCAGTCCCCGCCCTGCCGACGTGCTTGTAGTACTTCTACGCGCCGGCGCCATTACTGCCGCCGCAGCCATCCCTCGGTGGAAGCACGGTAGACGCGCGCGGGTCCACCTCGCACAGGTCGAATTCCTTGGTTTTCCAGTTGGGGTGGAAGCGGGCAACCGACAAGTCCTTGCGGTAGACCGCGAAGTCGTAGTTGTCCTGGTGTTCGCCGCGTTCGTCGCCCCCGTGGCGCCAGCAGGCGAAGCAGCGTTGGTGGTCGTAGCTTTTGGGGCGGGCGGACACCGCGCATCGAAGGGGGCCGCCGCTGCAGCCACCAGACCCGTTGACCACCTGCGCCCTAGTTTCTGGACTCATCTGCGCGATCGCCCCCAGCCAGCTCCACGAGTCTTCCTCGCCGCCCCAGAAGTCGTAGCGCATGTTGTGTCGTCCTTTCTTCTTAGGCGGTTTCCAGATTTTGCCGTTCTGCGCGGTTGCCTCGCAGACGACATCTCCTCCTGTGGTCCCGGCCACACGGCGCAAACACTTCAGCGTAGCGTTGCGCTGGCGGTATGAGGCCGTGATCGGGCGACTTGCGAAAACACATAGGTCGCCCGCCCTTGCGGGCGCCGCCACTGCGGCGGCGCTCTCTTGCCCGACCTCGGCGACGGGGGCTCTGTCTCGCGAGCGCTCCCTGAGCATCTCTGCGGGCGGTGGGGGTTCCCAGAGACGCAACTGCACTGGGCGGGGCGGCGGGGCTGCGTCGCGCTTAGGAATGGCAACTGGGGGGGGGGGGCCGGCGGCTGCGGTCCTGCCGTTGGCGGCGGCGTTGCCGCTGCTGGTTCGAGGGTCGATGTCCAATGGCTTCAGGGGCCGTCCGTGGACGACGGGCGGGCCGCCGCTGCAGCCTGGAATGGACTGGCCTGGCGGCGTCGAAGTCCGCGGTCGTCCTTCGGTTGTTCGAGCGGGCACTGGTTCACTGCCCCGCGAGCAAGCTCCTCCTCGCGCTCGGCCTCCTGCCGCGCAATCCACCAGTCTCGCGTCTCCCACCACCCGTTGTCCCAGCCCTTCCAGCTGTCCCAACCGCTCCACGGGCCACCCCACCACTGCCCCTCCTCGTGGCCGCCACTGCGGCCCTCTTGCGCCCAATCGTCCGAGTCCTCCTCGGCCGCCACTGCGGCCTCCTGGCCGCCACTGCGGCCTGCGTGCGCACTGGGCGCGGGGCTTCCCGCCGCCATCTCGCTGCCCTCGACCACGGAGGGGAGGTCTGGGCCGAGTGGCCGCGGGCGCCTAGCGGACAGGGGCCGCGGGCGCCGACTGCGGCCCGCGTGGGCCTCGGCGAGCGCCGCGCGGGGGTCCGCCGCGGAGCTCATGGCTTGAGCTTGCTCGGTGAGGAAAAGCTACAGGCAAGAGGAAAAAAAGAAAACATAAGACGGGAAGAAATGGGAAGACGGAGCGAGAAGGCGAGAACCGAAATAAGAAGAGAGCAAGGGAGAGAGAGAGAGAGGGAGAGAGAAAGAGAGAGAGAGAGAGAAAGAGAGAGTGCGTGAAAGATAGAGAGAGAGAGAGAAAAGATAGACAGATGAGAAAAAACATAATTATAGAGAAAGAAAGAGAGAAAGAGAGAGGGAGAGAGAGCGAAAGAGAGAGAGAGAGAAACAACAAAAACGGAACAATGTGAAGCCACACGGGGTGAAATGCGTCACCACGAAGATATCGTCACGAAACTACCACATGTTTACTATATTTATGGACGCTGAGAAGCAAACGAAAGTGCGCATACGAGACACACGAAAATGCGCAAACGAACAACAAAGCAAAACATATTGTAGAAATGAAGCTTAAACACTATCGAGAATGAGACAGACAGACCGAGACAGAGAGACTTTTTCAAATACCGAGGGTTGGGGGGGGCAGAACCCCAGGAGCGCAGCAACTCCTCTTAGAGGAGTTGCAGAATTCCCAGGGGGCTGCGCTTAAAATTTGAAATTCCAATTTGTATTAGGGCTTTTGGAATATCCTGCTCTCTCTTCCGTCCTCCTCCTTCGCTCCTCCATGCTCGATCCTCGCAATTCATTCCTCCCTCCTTATCATCTCTCTCTCCCCCCATAGAAGTCTCTGGACGCCTGGGAAAATCTACCGATGTACCAGGTGGCCCAAAACTCCCCAGAGGCCTCCGGAGGCGTCACCGGGCCCAGGACAAAATCGAAATCGCAAAGAGCCCCAAACCTCGGAGCTCGATCCCCCTCCTCACTCCCAATTCCCCCTAACAACAGAACGTCTCCACCTGTGCCCCTCTCGAAGGGAAGGTGAGGGAGGAGTACGATGACGAGGAGAGAGAGGACGAGAAATGAGGAGGAGAGAAAGGAGGACGAGAATGAGAGGGAGAAGGGACAACGACGATAAGGACCCCGGAGAGCGAAAGGAGGCACACGAGGAGGCGGAAGATGGGAAGGGGGGAGGAGGACGACAGGGACGAGGACAGGGAGCACCAAGAGCAAGAGGGCCAGAAAGAGAACGAGGTGGAGGAAACACAGGCTCAGCATCCTCATCCTCATCCGCATCCTCATCCGCATCCTCATCATCCTCATCAGCATCATCAACATCATCATTATCATCACCATCGACATCGTCATCATCCTCATCCGCATCATCAGCATCATCATCATAACCATCATTATCATCAACATCACCATCAATATCGCCGTCATCATCATCCGCGTCATCATCATCAGCATCACCACCATCATCATCATCATCATCATCATCATCATCATCATCATCATCACCACCATTCATCATCATCAACATCATAACCATCAACATCAGCATCAACATCATCATCATCATCATCATCAGCAGCAGCATCATCATCATCATCATCATCATCATCATCATCATCATCATCATCATCATCATCATCATCATCATCATCATTTTCATCATCATCATCATCATCATCGGCATCGCCATCATCATCACCCGCGTCCTCCTCCTCCTCCTCATCGTCATCATCATCATCAGCATCAGCAGCATCATCACCATCAACATCAGCAGCAGCATCATCATCGTCGTCATCCTCGTCTTCATCGTCATCGCCATCGTCATCGCCATCAGCACCATCATCTCATCCTCACCCTCATCCTCCTCCCCGCTCCCCCCAAACCCCTTGGTGGAGCCCCGCGCGTGCACGCGCGGAGCGTGCCCAGCTGCAGCCCGAGGCCCCGCGGCTGGTCCGCGGCCACCGACCACACAGCGTAGCTGCGGGCGCCGC